GCTGGCTCTCTGCTGCTGTGTTGATCACTTGCAGAGGTGTTGGCCTCATGCTCATTAACGTGCTGGTGCAGGGCACACTGAAACAGTCAGGCAGGATTTGTCTTGGGGAATGAGGAAACGCTGTAAAAATCGGGATCAGAATTTACTTTTAATCTGACTGCCTTTGGGCTGCCACATGAAACACTATCTGAGGCACAAGGAGCACTCCAGTGCTTGCTTTCAGACTGTTTTGGGGTTTTTTTCAGTTATGGAGTTGTTCCCCTGACAGCATCCCTGTGGTAAAGGCAGGTTTAAAATAAATAAAAGGGAGAATGTGGATATGCAGATGAAATGCCAGTGTGAACAATATTCCCACCTCAACACTCAGAATCTGAATCTCTGGATCAGGTCTAGCCTGTCTCAGGGTGCTTTTCTAAAGAATGCTCTGCAAGCTCCTGTGTGTCAGGATGCCATCCTTAGGCCACTATTGAAGCTGGACCATGGTCACTCCAGCTTCATCAGCAGTGGGAAAGGCAATGAAGAGGGAGGAAGGTTTCTGTATTCCATGCTATTTCTGAAGCCACAGCTTCTAAAACAACAGAAAAATGCATTTCACAGCTTCTTTTTCCCAGACTGTTACAATTATTTTTGTTTACGTCCACAATCTTCCTAGTTTGTATAGAAAGAAAAATCTACAGTGGAAGAGAGAATATGTTAAAAATAAGAAAAATCCTCTCACAGCTCCGGAGGAGAGCATGAAAAGTTTTCTGAGTTTAATTGTTGCAGAGAAATGCACTTGTTAACTACATCTGGGTCTGCATTTGTAAAACAGGGGTGTGTTAGAGGCAGAATCCTGGCAGTGGTTAAGCCAGTGGGATTTTTGCCAGTGATTTTAATCAGAGCCAGAATTTCACCCTAGGTCTATAATCTTGTGTAATCTCCCTTTGAAGTCACATGGATTTTTAACCAATGACTTATATAACACCAAAACAGTTTACTATCCACCCAATAATGTCAATTTTCCTGTGTAACCAAAACTAAATGTTCCAAACCATGTTTTCCAAAACCTGAGATGAGATTGAATTAAAAACAATTTTCCCCCCATTTTTCTGAAATGTTTGGTGTTTGTAGAGTCAATTTGAAACTATGGGTGTAGCCTTCTTTTAAACCCCTTGTCTGACCATATTGCTAACCTCATTTAAACCTTGATGTTTGGGACAGATATTTATGTCATTCCCTTCCAACCTGAACTGTTCTCTGATCTCACAGTCCTGCTTTAGAACTTACAGAAATGCCTTTTAGGCTCATCTGCTGATTAAGAAACTGATAAGCTGCTGAAAACACAGTTTGTCCCATTAAAATAAGTAAAATTATAAACTCTAATAATTCCTTGTAAGAATTTGAGTTTGGGTTTTTTCCCTGCATATTTGGAGTCTGTTAGCCAGTGACCAGCTCTGATTCCATTTCCAGCTTACATAGCCACATAATTTCACTCTATCATCAAGGCAACATCTGGGATTTTTAATACTGCAGGTGTGTCTTGAGCCTTGAACTAAAAGAGAGAAGGTGATATGAAAATATGTTCAGTACAGTAATAAAAAGCTTCCATGTCAGAGGCAATCAGAGGAGTATCACACAAAGCTTGTTTTGACACAAGAACTCCTGTGTAATTTTGAAAGGAGCTGTTTCTTTCAGATCTTAAAGATTATGAATATTTGGAGGTTTTCAAGACAAGACTGGCCAAAGCCCTGTGCACCCTGGTTGAAGTTCCCTGCTGACCCTACTTTCAGTAGGAGCTGGGTCTAAAGACTTAGAAACTCCTTCCCCTTTGAATTGTTTTATGATCTTGAATTATGCACAGATCTCCTTAAATAAGCATTAGTAAATCCTTGTCAAACACAGACTGTAAATTTTCTGGTGTCAGTACACAGGTTGTCTTTCCAGAGCATTTTGGCTTTAAATTCTGTATTTACACAGGACTGAAAGATGGATTTTTGCTTTGCTTTAATAAAAGTCAGAAGGTATATTAGTGACAGAGGCAACTCTTAGTTCCTGACCTGATGACCTGACAATACACTCTTCCAGGACTAAGGAATTGTAACCTACATCTGGGAAGATTTTATACTCCGCAGCAACAGCATCTTAATTCACAAGTAAAATTGCTGTTGACCTGGTTTAAATACACATATTTTAATTTTAAAACAGTTAACGAAAGCTTTCTGGTTGTATCAATCTATTTTTATTATCAGTGTAATGAGTTACCTTTTTTACCTTATAGCAATACCTTAGTGGTTTGGGTTTTGTTAAAAATAACTGGCTGACAGTTCCTGTTTCTTTGTGGCTTCTTAATTTGTGTGATTTTTATCTTAATATTTTTTTAACTGTTTATTTCCTTCCACTTCTTTTCTTAAAAGAAAAGCCTCTGCCTTTGCAGATCAGTCAGGTTTGAGTGCATTTGCAAGTATCTGATTCAAGCTAAATTTGCTGTAAAGGACATCTTTGTAAAGCCATGAATTTTCTTTGTTGAGGGTTAACTTTATGTTACTTTGATTTGAATGCTTCAGCCTGGGAATTGTTTCAAGTCGAGGATTAAGAGGTTTGTCTAAAGTACTTAGGAATGCAGGATTTGCAATAGCAGGTGAAATAATTTTTCAGTTATGTCTGGTAACCTGCCTCCAGCAGTTGTCGGTCTCCGTGGCCATGGTGAAAATTTGTTCTCTTTTTCTCAGCTTCCCTTGTACAATTTGGGCTGGTTATTTGTATACTGCAGTATAGGATAACTGAGAGAAAACAGATTGTTTTTAAAGAATAATTAAGCTCCTTACGCTGCGAATTTGACTCATATTTTAAAATTTCAAATTTGGTACAGAAAGTTTCAGACTGTAGACCTGATTTTGTTCTCCTCCTCCCAAAAATGGATAGGTGGCTTTACCCAGTCTTCTAACTTTTCTGAAGTAATGTGTTTTTTCTATAGAAGTCAATATAGTTGAGAGCAAAAGAATGCATTAGGCTTAGTGATGTACCCAGGAACTACTTTAAGAAAATAATTGCTAATCAAGAGATGACCAGAATTAGAAATCAGTGAATGAAAATTTGTTTGGCTGAAATAAGGCCACATTTCTAAATGAGAAGGTAACCATGGGCTCAGTACCACTTCTGGGATCCATCAATGGTACCCTGTGAGTTAAAAAGTGATACTTAGGAACTGGGGGACAGGGGAAGCATGTCCTGCTGTTATGACTGCCAGCCCTGACCTGTCATCACAGTGGCCTTTCCTTATTGTCACCCTGAGGAATGCTTTCCTCAGGGACAGAAAGATGGGTGTATAACAACATAATCTCTCTGTCTAGCTCTCAAATGACAGCCAAACATGAAGGTTCAGGAATTATTTTTTTTCCCCATTTCTCTTTTATTTTGTCTTTTCAGAGTGCAGACTGTAATCAGTCACGTGGCTTTTCTTTTGCATCATGACTGTCAGCACCTGAAGGAAAATCTAAAATTGCCAAGCACTGCTATAAATTGGACAGGTTGCTGCATGGCTGGTTAGGCATTGTACTGTGCCTGTGTTTCTGCAGCTAAAACAAAAGGAATAAAGAATTGTGTTGAAATAAAGCTTTACATTTTTGGCTGCTTTAATTCTTTTTTTTCACTTCTACATTTGTAACAAAACCCTTTTGAAGACAGTGTTTACTACTTTGATACTAATCAGGGCAGTGTTTCTGTATCTTGAAACTCCAAAACTTGCTTAATAATTAAATGTCATACTGTGCCAGGGTCATATTTCACCTTTGCACTTTCAGCAACTCTTTGTTATATAAATATTTTCACAGCAAGCCACTGTGGTGGAACAGGGCTTTCCTCAGTGTTACCCAGAGAGCGTGTGAAGGAAAATCCATAAGCAGCAAAGCAGACAAGGGCAGCGCTGGGACTTGGTGTTACAGTGCAGTGAAAGCCACTTCACCTCTTCCAACTCCAGTCTTCAGGCAGTTTCATAACTCATGAGAAGACAAAGGGTGTGTTGGCTGAGAAACATTAATGAGTCAGGAAGCTTTTTGCTCTTGCACCTGTGATTGACTTTATGGGCACTCTTTGTGCTGTGTTCTTCCTAAATGAAATTGAAAGTGCTTTCGGGTTTTACAAGAAAGCTCAGAGGTAGCTGAAGTGTTTGATGAATAGTCTGGGTGGGATCTTAGCCTGCTTGGAGCATTTTGCAGTGTAAACATAGCATTAAAAAAGTGATCTGATCAGAAAATCTACTTGACCTGTTTGTGAGTTGAACTTTGCACTTTTTCTGGAGCTCTCTTTCCTTCAGGTGATCCCTGGGTATTGCTGGAGGGAAGGTACAGTTTCTGCTAAAATAATGCCATGTTTCTGGTGCCAAACAAGAGGACTTGAGACACAAAGGTTGGCACCTGCAGCACCTTGCCCATTCACTGTGGGAGCAGAGGGTGGCCTAACCCCTTCTGTCCACTGATCTCACCTGAAGTTCTGAGTGCAAAGGGAAAGTGGATTTGATGTGTTTGAAGGAACAAGAACAGCTATCAGTGTGTATGTGTTTGCTCATGTGCTTCAGGGGTTATTTTCTTTGTAAATTATATTATTTATTGAAAACTATACACTTTGCATAGAGTCCTGTTTGTGGAATGTTGTATGGTACCACAAATTGAATACCTAAGGACTGAATGAAAGGCAAAAAAAATATTACAAATTTTGTTCTTATAAGAATATATTGAAGACTGCAGCATGTAAGAGGGCTCTTGAGACTCTTAAAACCAGGACTATTCAAATATATATTTTTCTTTCTGTTTGTTACATGAGGCAAGGGAACCAGATCTGATGTTACAAAAACTATATTTCATTCCTGTTGTGAATCACCATATTGTTCATGATTGTCTGTTGTGGGAAAAAACAATTGAAACTAGAATGGATTCAGCCTTTATGAAGTCAAAGCCAAGGTCTTAAGCCCCATTGTTGTGACACACCCTCTGGAAAGTGGCTTCCTTTTCTGGATCTTAGGAGATCTCTCAGTCCAGGCTCTTGCATTAAAGCAGGATAGATGTAACTGGACTGGACTGAGGCCATGGATGGCAGATAGGTCACAAAAATCCAGCAGGATCAATGAAAAGAGTTAGAAAGGAAAAATGAAAATAGTTAAAGCAGTAGATGGTGCTTCCACAAACAACTCTCCCATCCTGGCCCTGCACACACAGATGTTCAGGTGATGCTCTGCCTCTGCTGAATCCAGATGGGAAGAGGAGATAATGCTGCAATTTCTCTTACCCAAGACAACCCTTTCCATGAAAGCGAAGTGTGTGGGATGCTACAAATCTTAGATGCAGTGTCCAAAGCTGTCAGACCATCTCTGGCTAAGCTCTGTTTGATAGAACCTCATCCTAGAAAGATCTACCACCTCCCAAAGCAGCAGGTTCTTCAGCATCCCTTGGCAGTCTTGTAAACTTTGTGGTCATATTGACAGGAATTATCTGTCCAATCTAAATCTTACTTCCTACAAATTAAGTTGATTTATATCTTGGCTTAGTGACCATGGAGAATATTTGACCACTGCCATGTTTATTTCTGCTTTTCTCTTTCCTAGTCTGGAAACCCCAGTTCTATCGACACATAGGCCAAATGTGATAATCCTCCTCTGCTTCTCTGGACTGCTCCATTTTGGAGCACTGTGTTTGGAAGATGCTCTGGACAAACAAGTTCTAAAATTAGATTCACAGGAGTCTTATGGAGTGGCAAAATTGCCTGTAATGCCGTCTGACAGCTCTCCTAATGTACCCATTTGGATACATTTGAGGGGTTTTTTTTCAGTTTCATGTCACTGACTCATCCTCAAGTAGTTCTCCCTTTTAGCAGCCTGGCTAGTAGCCAGCTGTTCCCTGCTTCATATTTAGGTGTTGTCTCCTTTCTCTAACCTGTTGTAGTTTACAGTGGTTTATTTCATGGATGAGGATCTTTTCTTGGTTTGCAAGATCACACTGGTTACTTCTACTGTTCCTAAAACAATTCAGAAACCTCACACAGTCTAAATAAAATCATTATGAAGTATCTTCTCAAATCAGTTATCCAGGTGATAAATAAGGTGCTGCCTACAACCAGACCAACAGTGATGCTATGCAGGAAATGTCCAGCCTTAGTGACAAGTTACTGATTCCCCTTCTGAGAGCTTTCTTAGAGGGGACACTCTCACAGTGATTTTTTACCTGTACCTTGTTTCTCTAATTGGTTATGAGAGTGTCATGTGTGAGAACATAAGACATATCACATCTACTCTTCTTTCTTGACTCACTCAGGCTTTTTAAAAGCTGTTTCAGATTATATTAGATTAGTTTGTAGGATTTGTTATTTGTAGATTTATTTGTAACCTGCCTATGTAAGATATTTATCTTACTGTCATATGGCAACAATTCATTGTTTCCCCCCAAATAATCCTAAATTTCAGAATATTTTTGTGCCTTCTATTCTGTAATTCCATCATTTAGATAATCAAAAGTACCAGTCTGAGAGAAGAAAACATCAGTGCAGTATTTTTTTTTTCCACATATATTTTTAGAAGCTTTTGTTTACTGCTTGAATATAAATTGAGAAAAAAAGAATTAAAGATTTTCTCTACAGACCTCAGTGGCATGTAGGTGACAGTATGGTTGTTATTTGAGTGGGCAGAAAGTGCTTCTCATGTTGGTGGAGAGCAGAGCTTTATTTTCTTTGGAGATGGGAAAGTTCGAGAAGCTTCTGCACCACTCTTTTCTTTTCTCTTTCTCTGCTTGAAAATGACCAAACTTTGTATTATTTATTATTATTTTGTATTATTGTTGCCAATCTAAGACTGTTCTGTCATGTAACACATCATGCATCTCTAGAAATATTCTCTGCTCTGACATCTTACAGCATCTGTGTGTAGATGTTTTCTTGAGTAGCTTTATTTTTAAGGTTTAAGTAATACAAATGTGCCATTTTTAAGTTCTCACTGGCTCCAGGTAAGCACATTGAGGGTCTTTAAAAGACCCTGCTGGTTTGTGACCTGGAGGGTCTGGGATGGAAACAAACCTGGGAAGGGTCTCTGGTGAGCACAGGAGAGGAGAGTTATCCTGTGCTAAGCAGGTAGGAAAAGTGGGGTTTGTGGAGCCCAAAGGTCACTGTGGAGTCCTTCCCTGGGTTGATTCGATCTATTTTTGGTTAAAAAAGCCCCAAAACAACAAAAGGAGCACTTGGCTGTTAGCTAGTGCATTTTTTCCATCTTGACCAAGAAATAAGGAGTATGTGTATGTATTCATCCCTCTGGACAGCTTCTCAGCTTTCACTGAATTATGAGCTTTTATTTTAGCTTTTTTTTGAAGTCCTTAATTCTGGAACAGTCCCTAATCCTCACATTCCCAATTATCCAGGTGTGACCATTTTTACTTTTAGAGGCAGCCCTGTTAACATCAACACAAGATACATAATGTTTGAATTTCTCAAAAAAACAAAAAGAAAAATAAAGAAAAAAAAAAAGCCACAGAAAGAAAAATGTAAATACAAATTTCCTTGGGAAAGAAATATCAGCGTGGGCAGCAAAGAAGTTGTTGAAGTGGAACAATGTGGCAAACCTGACGTTGATTGGATTTAAGGCTCTAATCACTTTCCCTTGCACATGAGTCTCATACCAGTTGTTAACTTTAATGAGTCTTATGTGCCAAGCCTGCAAGGAGAATTGGTCCTTAATTCGCCTCGCTGCCAAACTGTTTCATTAGGAAGTATTTCCATGTCTTCCTGTTGAAGTTTCATTTGGTGGTGTCTACACAGATACAGTCCTGGCGATGAGGAATTCTCCTCTGACCTGAGAGAAGGGCTCAGGTAGATCCAACACTTGTGCCAATGGGTGTGTGACTGAAGATCTAAAGCTGGATACCTCCTGCTTGCTCCTGCAGTAACTCTGGAGAAATGACTTTCTCTGCTTTTCTTTCCAAAGTTTCTAAAAAGGAGAAGCTTTTGTCTCTATCTCCCTGATGGAGCTATTGGGAGGATGAATTAGGAGCATTTGTAGAATTCTTGGCCTGAGAACTTTCATTTGAATGTTTCCCTTATTAACCCCACCAACATTTCTCTGAACTTCGATGGTAATCTTTGGCCTACAAAAATTGTATGTGATTCCATAGAAATGAGTACCAGGTAAGCAGCTCCACCACATTTTGCAATGGCTTAATGAGTAAGTTTATAGTAATGATCTTATAAACCCAGAGTAATTGAACAAGCCACAGATCAGTCACAGCCTGGAAAATCCCAATTTGGGGCCACTTTCTGCCTCCATCTGCATTTTTAAATTTGTTGCTTTTCATTTTCATGCTAATTTACCCTGTGTGTTTCAAAGACTACTTCAGCCTGTTGGCAGCTCAGGAATGGGGGCAGACCTGCTGCTCCTTGGCAGCAGGTGAATGCCTTGGCCCTTGAAAGAGGCGTCCAGATTCACTCTTCCCCAGCAGCCGGCAGTGCACCCAGGCCTCTTTGCTGCAGAGCTTTTCTGGGGGAAATTCCTAACTTATTTTCAAACTCCTGAATAGCATTTTGGCTTTAGAATTTCCTTCTGCTGCTCCCAGCACCCTGAGGGTCTGTCTGCTGGGCTGCCTTGGCTCCAGAATTCAGATCTTTTTGGCTTGAAGGTGGCATAATTTAGGAATTACTTAAAAACCTTTCAGCCATGTAGGATAAACAAAGAGAACCAAATTACCATTTTAAAATGTTGAGGTACCACAGGAAGGTAGGATTTTTTCCTGGAGTTATTCTTAGTTGCTATAATTGATACAAATATTCCTTTAGTTTTATGTAATACTATTTGTGGTCAAAAATATTCATGGATATCAGTAGGGGAACATGGCCTGTGGAGCTTGCTATTGTTGGCAATGTAATACAGGCTCTAAGTTGCTATTGATATTAATATATGATATTTGTTAGCAAACAGTATTTGAGTTCATCATCAATCAGTCTTTGGGAGGTCTGCTGTGGGTCATTTTGGTCTTTCTTGGCTCCTTCACTAGCAAAGCTTAGTGTCATTTGGGATAACATTAAACTGAATTCTGTAAACTAATCCTTACACTCTTTCAAACTGAAAATGCAATTCCTGTGAGTTGAGCTGGTGACAGCTCTTCACCAAAAACATGTATTTTGGTTTTCACTAATTACAATGCTCCAAGATCTCCTAAGTGGAACATATTGAATTGTATGTGGGCTGTCAATCATGTTTTCCTTTGCTCATGCTGCATTCCTACATAGAAAAATAAGCTAAATTATAGATTGTCACTTCCTTTAGTAGCTCTTACAAGAAATGTGCACATCTTAGTTGCTCAACCTGTGGCCAGTAATGATGCCTATAAAGCTTTACATGGGTGTCTGACATGCTCTTCTCAGCTCGTTTTTTTATGGATATGGATGGTAACTTTGGGATTTTGCCTTGTTTTTCTCATATACAAATTTACTGGGGCATTTGGCTTACTTCAGCCCATGAAGAAAAAATTTATCTCATAGGCTTGGTCTACATGGCAACAACACTCACACTGAGAAGAGATGTAATCATGTTGGAATATGTGCATTTTAGGATGTGTTTAGGGTAAATTGTATCCTGTATGTGAAACTAGAGTGTGAGCCTAAGAGATGGGGGAACAGCTATGGCTAGTGGGGAGCAGATTTCTGATGAGGATGAAGGTTAAAGACTGTGTTTTATATGTGTTTTAGTTGTCCAAGCAAAATTATGAAACGGCAGAAATAAGAGGAAGCAAAAGAAGTGGCAATTAGAAATGCAGGTAAATGTGTTATTACCAAAAACTATCCAGCTGAATTGACTGCAGTGTATCAATAGTTTAGCTAAATAAAATGAAATACTCCCTAAGTTATACAATTTAGTAAACTGCAGTGCATCATACCCAGATTAAACCATTTTTTACATACTCACTGCTGGTTAAGGCAAGAATGGTATTGCTGAGATAACTTTGTTTCTTATCTGAAAAAATTCCTGGATGATGCTGCTTGGAGACATCTGCTTTTGCACTGGGGGTAAACTATGTGCTTGCAAATGGAATAAACTAGAAGAGAAGACATGTTCCCAAAGTAATGATACAATTTATTAAATAATTGAGAAATAATATTTTAAAAATTAATTTGAAAAATTAAAAAATTAATCTGTACTATTCCTTCTATGAGTTTGTAAGAACCATGATAGATTTTTATAAGACAATTGAAATATGGAAAGGGAGGGCTAAAAAAGGAGAGAAGAAAATCAAAGTAAATTTATTCCTCTTTTGTCTTGGGATCCCATACTTAATCTCTTCTGTTGACTGTTTTTTTTAATCTAGTCTTCTTCCTTCAGTGAAAGCAACAAATCAAAAAGCTTTTGTTTGAAGAAATAGCAACAGAATATCAAAGTCAGTTGAAATATACTAGATGTTAGTAGTTTTGGGATGACACATTGGCATTATCCCAGGGATACTGTGGATTTTTTTTTCCCCAAGGGCCTCTGTGCATTCCCACTTAGGGGATCTGGTGTGGAGCTGTGAACTTACTGAAATGATGTACAGCTACAAGACTGGGCCTAAAAAGCCGAGGTTGCTGAGATGGCTTTGATTTAACCTTTCTCTGTGTGTGTGATAGAAATCACGGTCCCCTGAGTGTGGAGGAGGTCATTTCAGTGCTCACTGTGAAAGCTTGGGGTGTGTCTGACTCCTGAGGAAGCACCTAGTGCTGCTCAGCATGATGGGCTGAGGGACAGGGATTGGGATAGGCTGCATTTAGTGCCTCTGAAGGTCCACACATCTTATCCCTGCTGAAAAAAATGCTGTGTCTCCTTGAAGGAGAAAATTTCAGCTTCCATTACCTTTTACAGTTAGTCTCACAGGCTCATGGTTGTTGAGATTCTTTTCTTAGGTACAGTGGTAAGCGATAAATCATCTGCATCTTTTTTCTTTCTTTTTTAAGCTATCTGACAGCTGATTTCCTTCCTCTTTCTCTTTGAAGATCTGAATTCTTCTTTTGTAGTTGTTTGTTGAACTGCTGTCCCAAGGTCTGGTACAGTTCTCAAACTTTTGCAGCTCTGTGGTTACAGAACTTACTCTAAGATCTCAGGAACTGTGAACTCACGCCAGAAAGTAAACAGCTCTAACAGCAGTACAAAGAGCAGGGTTTTCTTTATTCTTTTGCACACAGATTGGTGATTGCCAAATATCCGCATCAGGTTTGGGGCCTGAATTGCTCGAGCTTGTGTTTGAGATTTCAAACAAAAACTGTTCATGATTAACATAGTGCAAAGCATGTATCTGCTTCCAGTTGTTGTCTTCACAAACCTTTTCACAGTGCTTTGAGCTTCCTCTTTGGTCTTTGCGAGTTACACAAGGACTTCTCAGTTTGAATTCCTCAAGGAGAGATAAACAGGAGGCAGAGAAATCAAACTAGACTGGCCTTGCTCTCAGTGCCTTGCTATTGGATTTCATAAACCATTTGTTTAAGCGTATTTGTCTTTAGTGGTTAGGAAAACCATCTCTGGGGTTGCTTTAGTCGGCAAAGGTACCTATCTGTGGAGAACATGCTGTGCATTATGTATGCCTAGTGCTGTTTTATGGACTACCAGAAATCAAAGATTTGTTTGAATTTCCTCAGATGCTTCTGGCTACCCCAGTCCAAATTCACACAGAAGGCCTTTATATAGGAATATGCAAGAAGTGTTGAAAGAATATTGGTAAGGTTACAAAGTCAATGCCTTAAAAGCTGAGTAACATTCGGACACAACGTTTGTCCAACTTCAATTCTGTTCTTTTCTGCAGATCCATTAGGATGCTCATGTTTAAGCCTGTAATCTACCACTGGAGCTGTGCTAAGGTACCCTGCCAGGCCTTCAGCTTTTCTCATTGACACTGGGATACTGCTGCTGTCCCTTCTCTGGAGAGAATATGTCAATCACAAACAATAACATATTTTCTGCCAAAGGACTCCAGACAAATTGGTGTTCTCCCATGGAGTGCAAGCCCCACATAGATGCTGTGACAGATGTCAGCCTTGTGCCCTCACCTGTGTTGTCTCAGATCACAATAAGGACCTCTATTTCAGCCACTGAATGCTACCCTTCACATCTGTTTTCTATCCTGGGAATTTAAACAAATATGTAGGCATTTGTGGTGAGACACCTGAACTTGGGTGTCTCAGTCTCAGTTGAATCCTAGCCATAATGTCAGTTTACCCAGTCCTGTTGCTTTATTCAGGAGGAATTGATTCTGTTTAATCTTTTGGAGGTGGACAGGAAGTGAAGTCTCTTTTGCCCATTCCCAATAAAGCTGTCTCACTCCCATCCTATGCCTTCAGCTACTTTGCTCTGTCCCTGCCTCTCGTCTGCTTCTTAATCCCAACTTCCACTCTGTGGATCTTTGAACACAATTTCAGTCTCCTTGTCCAGCAAGTATTAGATTCTGTTCTCCAACTCTCAATCCTTTGCACCTTTTGAGATATTCTCAGATACCACAGCTGCTTACTTGTTAGTCTGACCACATTATCTCCCACATTTTCCCTCCCCTTATTTGAAGGAGCTCAGTTTTTCAGTCTCACTGCTGCCAGTGTTTGTCCAATGTAAGTGTGAAAGTCCCTGTATAAAGTAGTTTAATTTAGGTTCATTTTTGTATAGAGAGCAAAAATGTTTGACTTATGCAGTCTGTCTTGCCAAGTCACAACTCTTAGACCCAAACCAAGGAGGAGCTAGAAATCTCCCTCTAAAATTCCCCAGAAAATTGTTTCTTATATAGAAATATTCTCTGCAACATTTTTTAGGGGCAGCTTAATTATTTTGGCTGAAGTTTTCTCAGATAGCTCCTTTTTGGGTAGACACAGCTTTGGAAAATTTCTGCTCTTTCTCATTACAGTTTGGCAAGGCTTGAAGGCAGTTTAAAACAGGTTGTTAAAATAGCAATTGCAAAATCCTGGATTCAGATGCAACCCTTGTTTTGAGCATGTGGCTGTAGCTCAAGCCATACATCAAGCTTATGATTTTACAACTAGTTTTGTAATGTATTAGAGGCACTGACTTGCTCTACAGCTTTCTTAGTAGCTGGCACAGAAACTACCCCTTAGTGATTTTCATAAACTGAAGAAATTTAGTAGCTGGGTAAGATCAATATGGACTGCCCTGCATGGTCCTGTTACCTCATTTCCTCAACGGAAAACAAAAAAAAAAGGAAAAAAAAAAGAAAAAAAATACATGAAATTGGCCAGAGAGCTTAGCTTAAACTGCTGAATGTTTGTGGTTACATCTGGAGGAACAAGCTGATCTGGTGGTTGCTTAGGACAACAAAATGAATATCTCAAAAAATCTGTGTGCAGCGGCACTGGTTGCCATGACTGTGTTTGTGCGTGTGTGTGCAGCGATGTTTGTGAGAGACAGAAACCTGGGGGTACATCCCTGAAGTGCTGTGTTTGCTTTTTGTTCCATGACTGATGTCAATTCTTTCCAAGTGGTGCTCCTCTGTCAGCGTTGGTAGTTGCCATCTCCAAAGGTTTCATGCTACAAGGATCTAGGGAACATTGCACCCCGTATGCAGGGACCCACTGCAGCTCAGAGCCCATCACTTCAATAGAGTGTCACTGAAACCAAAAGCCACCACCATGATGTGCTGCAGGAAAGGGGCTGGAGTAATCAAGACTGCTACCAGCTTTTTATTCTGAAATTTACTTTCCCAGCAGGAAGAATTTGTTAGATAATTTTCCAATGTGGCCCTGGAAATTGGACCACACATAAAAAAGATGAAAATCAACCACACAAAGCCCTTTCACATTGGGGCAGGAAGGAAGGAGGAAGAGGAAATCCCTTCTGTCCCAAACACCTTCATTTGTTTTAACCTCAAGCATGTGAATCACATTTTCTTCTCCCAATGATCCAATAATCAGTTCATGCAAGAACATTATGCTTGTTCTTTCAGTACATGAAGCTCAGACTCTAGCACTAAATTAGATAAACCTCTTAACTTTTGTAAAACTGAAGTGAGGAATAGATTCAGAAAGGTTAACCATGTCATAAGCTAGTGGATGTTACTGGTGCTCACTTTACTCTGGATGGTTCTGAAGCACCTGTCTGTCCAAGCTCTGGCTCAGAAGACCACAGCTAAAATTGTCACAGACTAATTAAGGCTAAGACATTTTGAGGGATACTGGCTGGACTGCCTTTCAGCTGGGATGTAGCCTAGAGTCTGACATGAGTTCTGGATCATCATTGACTGGAGTAGATGTTGGACTTGGGCCCAGGGAAGGAAGCTCCATCCTAGAAATGTAGTGCTAATATCACCTTGGTGGTAGGAAGAAATAAGTGTTGTAGGCAGCCATATAGTCCCATACTGTGCTCCTGTCAGTATTAGGAGTTGCCCTGGATGACTCTTTGGACAGGATGCCTGTTAGGAATAAGTTTGTACAGAAGAAAGGGGAATAGTTATTATTCTTGCCTAAAAATAGGCACAGTATTGAGCTTCATAGTGCATTTAAATAGAGTCCAGTCAGTGGTCATTTCCTTCCGTGACCTTGAAATCTAACATTTGAAATTGTGTTTTCCAGGCAGTTGTAGAGGTTTAATTTTCTTCTTCCAGATGTTTTCTGCTTCCCTTCCTCCTGCCCTAGAGCAAATAAACCAAATTAGCTCCTTTTCTACCGATGCTCAAGATGTTGTGTGTATTACACAAAAATCTGACTTTACAGCATAACTTCCAAAGACAATGAAAGGCTGCATTGCAAAGTTCAAGTTAGATATATTTCTCTTATTTCCCTAAAACAGTCTCTGCTGATAAACTTTCAGTGGAAATCTGTAGATGATGCTCTGAAGAGAGGTAATCAGACTCTTAGCACCGAGGAATGAATTCTGTATGGAAAAACCTTTTGTAAAAAAAGCTTTAGCTGAGGTGGAAGCCAGTTTATTACAATGTCTGTGTGCTGTCAGAGTTTCAGCAGGAGGTCCCTGAGGTGCCCCTGCAACTTGTTAAATGGGCATATTTCAGAAGCATTAGAGTGGAAAGCTGAGGAGCTGAGAAATCTGTTTTCAAAAACTGCTCTGCAATCAAGACAGGCAGTGGTCCTAGAGAAAAAAATATCTTGAGCTGTATGTGGATGGAAATGTTTATTCTATTTTAGGACATTGTAGCTGGTATATTATGCCATGCTCATAATGTTTTAATTCAAGTACTAGGAGAGGGTAAACTCAGGGGTTTTTTGTAACTGCAATTGCTCCTTTTTTTCCTTCCAAAATAGCTGACAACTTGTGCATTCTTAAGAACTTGCTGCTAATAACACACACAAATTTTAATTAACATATCCTAAAGTAAATAAAATTCTCTTTTCAAAACATATTACTGGGCTGTAGGGGAGAATTATCTTTGGCAGGAGCACTACAGAGGTATCCAACAACAAGGACAAGGTTGAAAGCCTTTCTGGAGTTGTTTGCAAAGCCCTTAACCACTGGTTGTTTGTTGATCAAGATCCAAATCTGCTGTTTGTCATAGTTAATGCTGGTGTTGTGGCCAAATGATTTCTCAGGTTTCTTGGTGCTTTCTTATTTAATGCCATATTATTATCTTTATATCTGAATTTCACTAAACAATACTTGTTACTGTACGTTCTGTTGAAAGGTGGTACCTCTGAATAGAGTGTAGTCTAAAAAAACAACAAAGAACAGCCAGGAAGGGAGAAATGAAAACAGCAAAGTTTTTGGAACACCCATTAGTGATTTTTCCTTTTTATGACAAATAAACAGGAGCTGTGGTTGTACCTGCCTGTTCTAAACTGATACTCCTGCATTTTGCAAATGTGTCTGCACAGCCTGGTGTGGAAGAGTGAGTCTTGCTGATAAATCAGGGGAAGTATTAGATCTCATATTAGGTCTGTCAGGTCTCATTAGACCTGCCATAGCAAAGCACAGTTTTGCCCAGGTCCATGTGGGGAGTCAGAGATTGGGATTGGGACCCATGTGCACCACCCCTGTTCTCACTGGAAAATGTGTATAGGCTCAAAAGTACTAGAAAAGGAAGAAAAAGACATTTTATGAAACACATAAGAATGTGCTTTGAATTACTGAATGTTGCCAAGAAACAAGATTTCAGTCTCCAACCTTCAAAACAGATGATCCTGCTGTTTATGGGATGTGTTCCTGTTCAGAAGCTGCTCTGGTGCTGACAGCTGGAGGGAGGTGGTTGGGCACTCTCAGGGGGGTTTCTGTCAGCTCAAAAGCCTTTGGACTTTTGTTACCCAGTGCAGCACTATAACACAGTGATTAAAACAAACACTGTATAAATGTGGTATTTGAGGTATGGAATTGGTCTTTCCAGGAGGTTTTCAAGATGTGACTGGGCAGGGTGCTAGATAATTTCATCTAGGCTCCCTTTCCATGAAAGGTAGTTCTGGATGATCTTTTGAGGTCTTTTCCAACTTGGGCTATTCTATGCCTTGGGGAAAGTTGGATCAAATTGATTGATCTTTTACATTGATATGACATAATTAATGTTCTGATTTCAATCTTCAGTATTTTTTCATCAGAATTCATAGAATCTCCCCAAAACAGGTTTGGGGCTTGTGATACTGCCTCTAGTGGAATCTGGGATGTTTGGGGCAGGTTTGGAAGACCAGATGTCTGTGGAGGACAACTTCAGTGTGAGGAATCAAACAAGTGATGCTTTGTGTGTAGGTTGTAGTTGTTGCTGCTATTTCATTTGTGTGTTTAAGTCAATATTGTGTCAAGTGTACAAAGTATAAAAAAAAAAAGAAATATTACTTTTTCTTCCAGTTCTACAAAATGCTGAAAGTATTTGAAAAAAAATAAAAATTTAACTCTTCCTAAACAAACCTATATGATTGAGAGAGAAGACCCATCAGCCTTCAGGGCTTGCTGGAATTTATCTACTGGGAATAGAATGTGGTTACCCTGCCAACCTCAACCACAGTCATCCTTCATCATTTAAAATATAGATGTAGCAGGGAGGCCATGGAAGGTCAGAAGAACTAAAAATATTCACCTGCAACAGTAGTTTGCATGCATGTGTCTGTATTTATATATATGAGTGTGTGTGTGTATTTTTTCAAGTAGATCTACATATATTCACACATATTACTACTTTTATTAACCAGGGTCACAGTATGAATAAAATCAATTGAGTGACAGTTTACATCCTTTTTTTGTAAGGTGTAAAGGTTACAGACTTTAAAAGGTTTCCTCTTTTAAATTATTTCATGAACCTCTTAAGTGGAAAAAGCCTGTTTTATATCATACCTTAGTGATTGCTTTTTGTGCAATCACAGATTGTTTTGTCTTACCTTCAAAAAACCCAACACAAGAAAACAAACAAAACAAATGAAAACCAGAATACTGCAGAAATTTACAT